GAAGCAGGCTGAAGGCTATACCTTATGACCTCTGCAAAACTGCATCGTCAGAACCTGCTTTGTCGTTAAATCCTTCATATATATGAGATAATCACTTTAAGTTAAACAGTATCAAGAAATCTTCACTGCTAAATACTGCAAGCAAATAAAATGCAACCGCTGTAACTTTGACATAAAGTACAGAAATGCCATACCCAAAAGACATGGGGAACCTTAACCATGCAGTTGTTGTTAAAGTTTTTGCCAGTTTTCTCCAAGTTTTTAGCCTCTGCAATAAAATCTGTAGAGCAACCAAATCATGTGTAGCAAAGCCAATTTACTCAAACACAGGATAAAAAAAGCTATAAAAGCCTTATATCTCAAAATGTTACTGAATGAATGTAAATAGCCTTTGGTGTCGCGTACATAGCCAAGCAAATATATAGGGATACATAGAATATCTTGTGATTCTTTCCTTAATTAGAGTTCATGTATATGTATATAAACCTCTCACATATTGGATAATACATAAGTTATTCTGCCATTCCTCATCTATTACATGGTATCAGAGCCGCTAGGGCTCAGATCTCTGATCAAAGATTCGGAACCTTTCTTCGTTTTAAGAAAATTTATTCACTGTTTGTTTGGATCACCTCTAAGGAGTGACCAATTTGTTTTTACCACTACCATAGTAGGACACAAGAGGATTCCTGCTGGAAAAACCATCTCCAATGACTGGTTGGGAAGCAGGTGAGCCTCACGCGCAAGGGAGACTTTTGCGGGAGAAAACACAGCAGTGGCGCATGGAGGCGCGTGAGATGGCGGATTTCAGCCCACTCTACCTCTCCGACATTGCATTGTCAATTCCAGCAAAATTCTTTGGTGCTTTTGATCAAAGGACCACTGGCTGCTTCGAAATATCAGGGTCACGTCTGTTCTACCATTTTTGCTCTCTTCTTCATGGATCTATTACTCCAGTAGTTTGTTGTGGCTGCTCCTAGTCCATCTTTCGCTAAACAGCTCTTGTCTTGGCTGATGAGTTTGTTAAATTTTCTATATCAAGAATCAGTAAAGGAATTTAATGTTGCTCGAACTCGGGTGCGAGGTTCCGATATAGGTGCGGATATATAGGTGGGATTCTAGGCTCATAGATAATATCATATTCACTAAGTTCTATGGACATTTAGCTAATCTCACTAATAACTCATGTTTATGCAGTATATTCCTTAACGGAAAAGTACTTACAACATAAATGGAATGACTTTGAAAATAAGGTCGTAACTTTCTTGATGCCATTATCAATGCTAGTGCTAGTTTTTCTAAATGAAGATAATGTGTTTCAGCATCCAACAAAGATTTACTAATATAATAAATTGGAGATTGTTTAACTTTATCTTCTCGCACCAGTACCGCACTTACTGCTACCTCCAATACAGCTAAGTAGATGAGTAACCTTTCTCCGTCTCTTGGTTTCAATAACACATTTAAATTTAAGATCCGGGGGCATAGAGAAAGGTGTTGGGATTCGAATAAAAATAATTTTAAATTCTAAAAGTAGAGCTATAGTGTTATCCAAAATTATGAGAGATATTTTGGGGAGAACTTACAAGTAGGTTGTAGAGGGCAACCAATAATCAAATCTTTCATTCTCAGAATTTCTCAAACCATAGACATAGCAAGTAGCAGTTAGAGTTCTAGACATTCTCCAAGATGGGCAATATTTCTTTCATTCTTCTACAATTTACACAATAAAGTAGCAAACTAAATATTTAAAGGACATTAAAGTAGAAGAAATATAATTAAAATAATTAGACATAAAGTGAAAGAAAACTAGCCTTTTATCCAAGAACAAGAATGACATTACTCTTGAAATAAGGAATGTAACTTGTAAAGTAAATGTGAAAAATAAAAGATAACTTAACAAAGTGAAAATAGAAATTTTAAAATTTAAGACATAAACATCGACTTACTTATCTCATAACTTAGTTATTCAAAATTATTCAATCACAAGACTACCAAACTGGCAAAACACAAATTAGAAATTCAGTCACATATTAGCTATTCATATTTAGTTATCACATGACAACCAAAAATACAATGCACAAAGTAGAACTTCACCCTTCACCAAGAAGTCAAGAACTATGAACATGTGAACTTAACTAAAAAACTGGGAAGGTATAGACTAGGGTGTCAATGATTCGGTTCAGCCGGTTATTTTATAAAATTTGTACCATACCAATTTTTCGGTTATTCTATTATG